CAAGTTTAACTCAAAAACATAACCAAATCATAAGCTAGAAGGGTACAAAATGATATACAATTATGAACCGATCAGTAGCCTCATTAGTGTTTGAGTCCCGTTGTCAGCAGTCCTCATTAGTGCACGATCTATAATTTCCTACATAAATCAATACCGGTGGCAATTAATAGTCGAGTGTCACACGTAAGTTCTTCAAGTTCGAGATTGTGAGTCTGCTCTAACGTTGACGGTGAGAGTAACCAATCTCTCCCTCAATTTTTATTCATTAAAAAAAAGAAAAAAATCATCGGCCGAACTACTTTGAAAATTAGACCACACGAGGAAGTAGGTATCTAATTAATTTAAAATTAAGTAACAAACAAGTAAAGTAACCGGTTGGAAAATGGTGGAACGTTCCTAAAATTCTATACTGGCTCACCGGCTTTTTTCTGCGGGGACCACTGGGTCAATTCTTATTTTAGGAATCAATTTATTAATTTTTACCAAAAATAAAAAGGAATCAATTTATGAATTGTATCTTCCAATTAGGAAAGAATTGAGCAGTTGGCACCCCTTAATAGTAATAAATAAATATATTGATTGAAATGTGTCTCTTAAACCGCGTCAACGGCATGTGATGTGATGTGATCTTCAATTGTTTCCTCGACTAACAAATATTCGTTTCATCCAAATAAGTCTTTTGCGTAGATCCAGAGGCTCAAGGCCAAAGCAGAAACAATCACCACCGAAACCAGTCAAGCCTAAAATAATTTTCAAATGCGAGATTGTCGCCTAACTCCGCAGTCCAGAAAAACTCACACATGCGAGAGTCAGAGTCAGACAAAACCAGCACAGAGCCGCCATTGAAGCCTATTCGCTACCTTTAGCACCTTTACTTCTAGACAGTTTCTCTCTGTTAGATGCATGTCTGCAATTCTTAGAGTTTGTCAGATGATGGGCATCTTCGCTAGCGAAAACCCAGGTCTCAAGATCCATCTTTTCTCCTTCCTCTTCACTTTCTCCTCTCTTGCTCTGTTTTGCTCTGCTGCCAGTTCAATTACGCAAGGCCAACCTTTAAGAGATGGAGATACTCTTATTTATGACGGCTTCGAACTGGGATTCTTCAGCCCGAAGAATTCATCGTCCCGGTACGTTGGGATTTGGTATTACAACATTTCAGAGCCATCAGTCATATGGGTTGCAAACAGAGAGAGGCCAATTTTTGATAAAGCTGGGATCTTGAAAATTGGAAGCGATGGGAATGTGGTGGTTTTAGATGGAAATAACACCGCAGTCTGGTCTAGCAATGTTTCAGCCTCCTCTAACTCCACGGCCATACTCAATGATGAAGGAAATCTTGTTCTTTCAAGCAGCGGCGATACCAGCAAGGAGTATTGGCAGAGCTTTGGTGACCCAACAAATACATTTTTGCCTGGCATGAAAGTTGAGGTGAATTCTGCAAAAGGAGAGAACAGGTTTTTGACTTCATGGAAGTCAGAAAATGATCCATCTCCAGGAGCGTATTCGATGGGAGTTGATCCACGCGGATCACCACAGATAGTGATATGGGAAGGATCAAATAGGCGGTGGAGAAGTGGGCATTGGAACAAGCAGTTGTTTATTGGTGTTCCAAATATGCCAACTACATATTCATATGGTTTTAAGCTTAGTGATGAGAATGAGAATGAGAGTGGAAGCATGTATTTTACTTACACACCATGGAATGCTTCAGATAAGTTGAGGTTTCAGATAAGGTGCGATGGGTATGAAGAGCAGCTTAGGTGGGTGGGAGATAAAAACCAGTGGGAAGTGATACAGTCTCAGCCTAACAAGTCCAATGACTGTGAGCTTTACAACAGGTGTGGCAAGTTTGGGGTCTGTAGTGCATCGCATGGTTCGGGTTCGGAGTGTAGTTGTATGCATGGATTTCAACCAACGGATTGGGATCAATGGATTAGGAGAAATTGGTCAGATGGGTGTTCTAGGAAGACCCTGTTACAGTGTCAAAGAAATAGAACAATTGGAACAGAGGAAAATGATGAAGAAGATGGGTTTGTAGGTCTAAGGTGTGCCAAGTTGCCTGATTTTGCAGACTTAGTTGTTCCTGGTTCAGATGAGAATTGTGAGGAGATTTGTCTTAAGAATTGTGATTGTACTGCATATGCATTTGTTCAAGGGATTGGTTGTATGATATGGACAGAGGACTTGCTGGATGTCCAAAAATTTACGAAGGGGGGAAATACGTTGAACATTCGTCTTGCGCATTCTGATTTAGGTAAATTAATTCTTCCTTTGGCTTTATTGGAGGTTTTTTTTTTTCTCTGTTAATCTTTGCCATAACCAAAAGGCCAGTACTAGATTTCTTTGTCATTGTTGAGGTTTCTGGTTTTGGTTTGTTTTCCTATACAAGAGAAATCAAGGTGAATTGGAATCACTTTTCTGTTGGTGTAAAATTGAAGTCACTTCATTGTGCTACACACATGACTTCAACTGAAAAACCACTCTAATACCTTTTCTTTTGTCTCCTTTTATATATAGGTGGCAAGAAAAAATTATCGACCCCTGTGATAATAGTAATTTCTGTAGCGGGAGCACTCTTCTTAGTCATCTTCATGTTGCTATTATGGAGGTTTAAAGCAAAACTGAAAGGTAGGATACACATTTCCCTTCCTTATGGTGAATGAGAGGGTCTATTTCTTTTGGCAACTTACGAAAAATGTCGACTGTTCCATTAAATAACCTTCTTTCCATTTTGTTTCTAACTCTTTCTTTTGTTATTATCTAGTGTTGCCCACCACTTCTTCTATTTCATGGTTGAGGAACAACGATCCACCAATGCTCAATGCTAGCAAGAGCAATGAATTCTCAACAGATGTTTCAGGGTCAATTGACCTTTTTGCAGAAGGGAATCAAGTAAATGGATCTGAGTTACCATTGTTCAATTTCACTTGTGTAGCAGCTGCTACAAATAACTTTTCTGAAGAAAACAAGCTTGGGAATGGGGGTTTTGGTACCGTCTACAAGGTGAATTTATATGATGAGCCTGTCTGCAAGTATTAAAGTAAGCTGTTATGTACTAGA